AAAATGGTAATGGCTATTTCATAATTTTTTAATTAAGTTAAATTTGAAAATAATGCTACTTTTCTCCTCAAAAATCCTAGAATACCACAGAGAGATGTAGGTTTTTTATTTCGAAACTTTAGGTACTATTGGAAACTTGTCAGTTTTCTCCAAAATCAAATTACCCTAAACCAAACATTGAAATCATATCTCAACAATAAGATTCCGAGGGAAAATATGTGGATTCCCCTAACCAAACCCCTTCTCATATAGTTTATAAACACAAATTTCATAAACACAAACTTCATAAACAGTAAATTTAGTCTCAAGCTCTAAATTAGTCAGCAATACATAATACATAGTCTATGTATCAAATAACATCAATAAGCAACATATAAGCTTTATAAAGTTTAAGTCAGTGAGCAATAACTAAAATTTTAATAATATTTAATCAATTTTTTTGTCGATTCGATTCATAATCTTAAAACCAAAAATCGATCGCCTAAATCGATTTAATCAAAATCTAAACTAATGTAATATATATAATTGAAAAAATAAAAATCGATTTAACTTATAGACCATTTTTGATCTATTTTTTTGATTAAAATCGATTTTTGTACAGCTCTACATATTAGCTACTTTTCAATTTTCAAAAATTAAAGAAAGCTCAAAAACTTCTTTTGCTTTAATCCTTGTAAAGAAAAAAAAATCCCATTAAAAACACTCAAGAAAAGCAAGTAGTAATAATAAGTATAATTGTACATTTTTCCTTATCTTTTCCAAAATTTGGTGAAAGTATCCATAAAAATTCAAGATTAACAATATAAGATAGGTAGATACAACATTCTAGTTCACGATAGGACTACAACATCAAATCAAATAAATAACATACATAATATAGAATCTCCACTATAAACACAAGAATTTGACTCTTAATTATGTGGAGATTATTGTAAGCATCTCTCAATTATAAATTTTTTTTATTTTAGTGTAGTTATATTATTTAAATTTAAAAAATAGATAAATATTATCCTATAGTTAAAATTATTAAAATAGTAAAAATTATTAAAATAGTATTATTTCAAATCTTTATGATTCAGTCCATATAAATAAATTCAAGTAAGTATTTTTTGTTTCATAATGTAAAGATTCTAATTACAATAAAAATTCATAATTTTAATTTCATGCAATAAAATATTAAAAAAATATAGACAATATAAATTTATTGTAATTAAAATCATAATATTATGAAATATGAAATTTATTAATATTTTAGTTTTCACTGTCAATGGCTCATTATTACTGTGAATTTATAACGAGTTGATCGCCAACTTTTATAAAATTTAATATAACAAATTATTTTATTATGGATGTTACCTATTGAAGTATATTGGAATAATACTCAAATAAGTCATTGAATTTTATAAAAGATAGAAATAAACATTCAACATTTTTATTGTATGAAACTAAATTATGAACTTTTATTTTATTATAATTTTATCATTTAAATTAGAAAAATAAAAGAATATTAATCAATTGCCAAATTTATTAAAATATTATTATTTCAAATATTTGTTGTCCACTTAATCAAGATAAATTCAAGTAAAAATCTTAAATTTTTACATTTTGATCATCAATGTTTGTGAAATTATTAATATTTAGATATCACCTTCAACATAACTTTATAACGAGTTAATCATCAACGATTTCTGAAATTTAATAAATAAATAATTTTATTTTGTTATCTAAATTTCTTTTAATATTTTATTATATGAAATTAAAACTAAATCTTGACACTATGAAATATGAAATACTTAATTGAGTTTACATGGATGAGCTGAATGACAAACATGTTAAGGAACATTATTTTAGAAATTTCTGCAAGGGGATAATATTTTTTAATTTTTTAAATTTAAATGGTATAATTACAATAAAATAAAAAATTTATAACTTAATTCTATGCAATAAAAATATCAATTACTTATTTATATTTTTTATAAAATTTGAAGACTTATTTGTTAGTGATTAAATTGCAAATTTTTAAAATTTAGTGAACAAAATAGAAATTCTTAAAAAGTTAAATGACTAAAATTGATTTATTTTTTCAATTTTATAATATCACGTCAACATTGTCAAATAGCTTGTTAGAAGACTTAACAATGTCACATGACATCTAACAACTGACGTAGCATTTCCATGTTAACATGTCGCCATTACTCATTAATGACGAAGTGATAAAAAAAATCACTTATTTAATTTAAGTAACTAAATTAAAAAAAACTTAATATTTAAAAGACAATTTTAAAAAGACCTTAAAAATTGAGTGACTATTTGTGTATTTTATTTTTTTTTAAAGATACTTATAAAAATACAAGTAACCTACAATTAAACTCCAACCCTAGAAATAAAAAATTTTACCTTTCTTAAAAAAAAATGCCAAAAAATAACCTAGCAATGTCAATATTAGGTGACTAGGATGATACTGTGACTCGGGCTTGATCTTGATCTCTGTCGATTCATCGATGATTTCTTACATCTTGTTTTGGATAAACTCATTGAACGAGTTGAGTTATTGATGCACCAAACCTTTTTCTTCAAAGTAAGCGAAGATAACCACCTGCAAGTCTTTTTTGTGTGATCTCTTTATCTATTCATCATCAATTAGTTACGGATCATATTTGCCATCATTTTACATAGCTAGGGTTTTTTAAGGTCATGTTTAGCATTGGGTTTTCTTGCTTGGAGTGAAAATTTGGAAGTAAAACCCGAACTTAGAGTGGGAGAAACGTGAGTGAATTGAGTTCTTGCAATAAAAAATGATAAAAGAATATGATGATCTTTTTATTTGTAGATAGATTTTTATAGAAAATGGCTAACGAAACTATTACAGGTGACCCAGATGGATTAGATTGGATCCAATGATATGATGTATATATATATATACACACAAACTAGTTAGCAATCTTGTTTCGCGTTGGGTGCTGTAATTAAATTTATATGTAATTGTGAAATTTTTAATACAATTTGATGACTAAAAATCTATTTATTTATATATATATATGTGAAAAAAAAAGAATGTATTAACTTTTTTCTTACCATTAATTTCAATAGATTTAAAGTATGAGATTAAATTATTTTTTCTCTTTCTGTCTTTTTAATTATTTAGATTTGTTGAAATTAATGATTATAAAAATGTGTAAACATTTGTAATTTTAAATTGATGTAAGTTGATCTCTACTTATGTAAAAATATATGAGTAATAAACTAAAAAGTCAAATAACTATTTGAAATTTGGAAAGCAATGAAAAAAAAAGCATCTAATACAAAAAATAATATTATCATAAAATGAAACAACTAAAAAATTAATTATTTTATTTTGAGAAAAATATATATTACTTGATCCTTGAACATTACTATAAATCATCAACCTTATTTAGACCTAATCAAATTTTTTGTTCTATTAATTAAGGGAGAAAATTGGCATAGTTGGCTGGAATGGAATATAAAAAAAGACCCAAGTATCATTAAGAAAGATCATTGTTACTTATTCAATCCAATAAAATAATTTGGAAATCTCATATATTAAATACTTTATATACAGCTAAAAACTCAAATCCAAAAACCCAATTTAAATGATATAGACAAGTGTCAAACATTCATCCGTTATGAATATTTTTTAGCAAAAACAGTTACTGAGTTTTGTCTAGTACATTCTTTCAACCCAATCAACAAATAAAGGAATATATTCTCTGTACCACTTAAGCTAATATTTATACGTAATTTTTTAAGAGGTATTTGGAACATAAAATTATAATATAATTAGTATTAGATTAAATAATATTATGTTATCTTATATTTGATATATGTAAATATTAAAAAAAATAATTTATTTAGTGATCAAAATTATCGATCTTAAAAATTTATATAATTTAAATTATTGATATAATTTTTAAAGGTATAATAAGACATATATTTAATCTCATTGATTAAAAATAATCATCTCCATTTTAAAAAGATTGAATAATCTTATGTCAAGAAGATATTAATTTCTTTTATAATCTTATCTCTTTCTTTAGACACAAGCCAAATATAAAATAAGATGATTATCATTTTATTATATTAGTAATCTTATATATCAAATATAACCTTAATCTATAGGAATATATATTAGTATGATTATAGATTTTTTTCATGCTTTATTTTTTTAATGTTGTTAAACTAAAAAACTAGACAAAAAATAAGTGACACATGTTGGCATGAAATCCCTTAAGGGATTATTTTCATATATAGTATAAATATAGATATAGATATATAGTATAGATATAAATATAGATTGGTTAAATGAGAAACAGGGCTTCGTGTGAAAGTAGGTCCATTTTAAGCCCTATACATGAAATCTTCCCTGTCCAAAAGAACAGAAAAACAAAACGAAACGAAAGAAAATAGTTTTCTGCTCAATCAAAGGCCTTGGAAAATTCAATATAATACTTCAAACTTTCAATTTGAAGACAAAATATTTGTGATTTGTGAAAAAATATAACTTCGATATTAAACAAAATGAAAAAATATTGACTTTATACCATTTCATTTTATAAGAATTCAAATTCTAAAAAAAAAGAATGGAATTTATGAAATTAAAATTTTTTCATTGGAATAAATGAGAGATAAGATTACTGATTGAAAGAGAACTATCTTTTATTATGTAATTCAATATCATATGTAAAATAAAATAAAAATTATGAGTAAATAAACAAAGGCATTGATGGTCATGGCCAAATGGACAAAAATAAAATTTCAATCCTCCTAGGGCCATCCTTGTTTTTAAACATGTTCCGCACCCAATTTCCAATGTGGAATGATTCTAATGTTGTTAATACACATGTTTTAAAGAAAATTAGTGAGCTGTAGAGAAAGTAAAGTTTGCTATTGAGATATCACCTGTCCCCATCTACTCGGCCCATCTAGCCGAAGAGGTACCAGTTACCACATAAGCCGAAGATAAACTTAATTGAAGGCTAAGGCCCACCTCGACACAAAAACTAGGCCATGGAAGACATCTTCCAGAGAGGTAGTTGAACAGATTCCGCTATGGAGCAAATGCCCTGGAAGCTTCTCCGTGCAGTCAACTCTAAAGCTTGTAGTCTTAATTTGTACATTTATAATTGAAGAAACTGCAAATTTGCCCAATAGTTTTTAAGTTCCTTCTTTTTGTTTTAGTCACATACAGATAAATCTCATGCTTTGGCAGGTTACCAAATCATTATTTTCCTCTTGAAATATATGTTGAGGAAACTAGCTAGTGCATCACCACCTATATCTGTCTGAACCTGCATCTATTTTTTCCCCCACTTGTCAGGTCCAATTAAATGGTTTTCATTTAAGCTTTTCAAGAGAATTATCCGAATTCCCTCCTATCACTTGAGTCATCGAAGACAATCTTCATGGCAAATACTAGGAAAATCATCACCATTCTCCTAAGGCTTCTAGCCTTGGGTGCAACTCTTTCTGCAACAGTTGTCATGGTTACTAGCCATGACTCTGCCGATGTTTTGAACATAAAATTCTCAGCAAAATATAGCAACTCCCCCACATTCAAGTAAGATTCATGTTCACCATCTTCTTTCACTCTCTCTATATATTTATTTTTTATTTTACAGTTTTGCTAAGGGGTTGTTGAGATATTAATCATCAGTTTCCTAATATTTCTTGGTTGTTAAAAGTTTGGCATAGGTATTATGTGATTGCTGAGGCAATTGCAACCGGCTACAGCCTTATAGTTCTGTTCCTCTCTTCAAAGAGTTTAGTTTGGCGCCTGATTGTGATCCTAGATGTGGTCATAGCAATGCTAATAACCTCGAGCATCTCAGCTGCCTTGGCAATAGCTCAGATAGGTAAGAAAGGGAACAGTCATGCAGGTTGGCTGCCCATTTGCGGACAAGTTCCAAAATTCTGCGACCATGTCACTGGAGCCCTTATAGCCGGTTTTGTTGCAGCAATAGTTTACTTGGTGCTCAATCTTTTTTCTCTTCATGCTGTTCTCAGTCCCTTATTTCCAGCAAAATCTTATGCAGACAGATCCTAGTATGGGGTTTAAGCGTTTCTGCCATGTTCTGTTGCTTCTAGATCCGTTCCTTTTTTTAGGGACTGTTTCTTACTTTTGTCTCGATTTTGTAAAACGAATGTGTAATTCTAAGACAATTTAATCTGCAATGGATGCCAACCCATTTCTAAAATTCAGCTCGGAAACTTCGTAATGGCCTAATGGGCTTAAACTTTTGCGCGTCTAAATTGGAATGGAGCAAACCATGATCCATTGTCCAACACAGAAACTTTAATGTTATCAGCGTGATTTGCCGAACATAACTTGTAATGATAAGGCAACAGGAAACATGGCAAAAGACAAAAGGAAAGTTACATCACCTAAACGGCATAACTGAATCTTAAAAGTATCAGATATCAGAATAACATAAGGACAAGAATCACTTACCCAGAAGGCTCATCTCAGGAAAACAAACCCCCACCATTCAAACTAGATTGCAGTCCCTAACTCCAGAAGATCAAAGATTTGATGGTACAAAATCCTTTATGCACTTTCACCACGCTATTAACTCCTGAAAACCCACCAGCTAGTTTCCATAGGGCCAAATGTATAGCAAAGAAGCATAAAACCAAAATCTTTTCGCCCCATCTTTCAACAAGATGGTTTATGAAGCTCTGTCCTTAACCATCCCTTTGTTTTCAAATTTAACCTCCAATAATACTAAAAGAGCTAGTAAGTACTATGATCGTTGTCGTTCAACTCATAGAATTCGATGCTCGAGTTCAAGTGCAGATTTGCCTATCACTGTTGGTAAGTTCTATGCTTTCTCCATTTTCATTTCCCCTTTTTGAACTTTTGATCAGATATTACATGGTGATTGATTGAAAAGATGAAAAGAATCCTTTGTAAGTTTGAAATTGAAGCTGCTAGAAGAGAATAGTTTTTGAGTGCCCTGTCCTGTAAAGTTACCCAACTTGTCTTGATTGGATATATTCCATTTTCTCGTGGAAATAATAGCTACTGTTCATAAGGAGTTCTCTTGCAGGAGTTTTTCTTTAAATTGATTTTGCTTAATTTGCAAAGAAACAAAGGCCAATAAGTTAGTTTTTTATATGACTTTGATTATACCACATAATTGTAGAGATTTACACTTAATCTGTGAGATCTCACGATCTCACGAATTTATCTTACAAAAAGCATTATAAATTTAGATTTAACCTTTTATTTATATATCATAGTAGAATTGCCCAATTTAAAATTAGAGTATCATGAATTTCTTCCATTAAAGCTTTACGTTCCTGTCAAACTTAACATAAAATATGCACAGATTATAATATTACATCAGACGTTGAGATTTTAGAAGTAGCTCTCACCATATAACACTTAATTCTCATAGGATTTTTAAAGTGGCTCTTACAGTATAACACTTAGTTCTTGTCTAATTGGTAATCGCTTTGATATCATTTGTAGAGATTCGCATCAAATCTGTGAAGTATTATCCGCTTTGATCCAAAATTTTCACGATTTTATCTTATAAAAATCGCCTTACAAGATTGAGTTTAAACTTCTATTTATATATCAAATAGATTCTCAGAATCTCTCAACAGGAGATTGGAGTGTCACAATAATGGACCTGACTATCTGTCATTAAATATCACATTATTATTATTACTACTGATGCAGCTTTTATGAATTACTTCTGTATGTTATTTGCAACTTAAAAGTTGATTTTCATTGTGCTTATATGACAGATAAACTTGAAAGTGATCATTCCCTGACTGGTTCTGCTTATGACTTTGAAAGAGCTACCACATCACTTACTCGTAAGTCCTTATCGACCTCAAAGATGGTAACACTTGTAAGGCATGGCCTCAGCTCTTGGAATGAAGAGGGCAGAGTTCAGGTTTGTTGCCTTCTGCTCTTGTTAGTTATTTTCTGTTACAAGATCTTGTTTGTGTGGGTCTAAGATATTAATGCGAGAACTGGAGGTTCTTTACGTCAATATTAGGACTTTGAATCTGACGGATTAACATTAAATTTTAAGGAGTTTCCAATTCGCTGTTATTATGAACATTTAGGAAGCTAGTTCTTCCATGTGTCTCAGAATTCCATGAATTATGAACTGCTAACTTTGTTACTGTTTGTGTTGCAGGGAAGCTCAAACTTATCTGTTCTAACAGAAACTGGAGTGAAGCAAGCTGAGAGATGTAGGCAAGCCCTTGCAAATATGCACTTTGATCAATGTTTTTCGAGTCCAATATCCCGCGCTAAGGTATGACCACCGATGCGTTAAATTTTTAAGGTTGGATGTATAGGATTCTCTTTGGTTTTAAACCATCTTTCTTCAATGCAGACCACTGCTGAAGTGTTATGGAAAGGGAGAGAAGAGCCATTGGTTTTCCTTGATTCACTGAAGGAGGCCCACCTTTTTTTCCTTGAAGGCATGAAAAATGGTCTGTTCATATATATAACTGCCTGAATTAACCGTGATTTGATTCTGTAAATTGTTCACTTGTTTATAACTTGTCTAAGTACAAAACTGACTTGGCCTATTTAGAAGTTGTCTATTTCTCAATAGCTGGTTATGTAACACAGTTAACTCAATTAGCTCATTCTGCTTTAGAATAAATACTATTTTATTATTTATTTAGTTTTGCATGTATTAGACTAAATTATATTCAGAAATTGGAGGCAGTGGATGCTAGGGTGATATATCCAAAGGAGTATGTAACATGGAGAGAGGATCCTGCGAATTTCTACGTGAAAGGTGTCTACCCTGTTCGGAAATTATGGGCAACTGCTAGAGAGGCTTGGAGAGAAATCTTGCTCACACCTGTGTGTTCTTTCTCTTTTAAATTTTTACCTTCTCTTGCATTGCAAATTAATTTGATTGATGAATAAGAATCTTTATCGTTCATCAGGTAGAAAATTTTCTAGTTGTCACTCACAAATCAATGTTAAGGGCACTGATCTGCACAGCCTTAGGGCTAGCCCCTGAGAGGTATGTAATGTTCTCTGAACATTATTACAACTACCATGGCAAGGATCTTTAGATTATTATTACAAACTTACATGATACTGTATAAGAATTAAATTTGTAAGCCGCAGCAGTTTATGATTCATTTCTTCGAACCTGGTGAACACCATCTTATGTCTCAACTCCACCCTTTTTCCCCATATCCTTTCTAATCTTGCCATGAAAACCATATCTCTTGTAGTATACTTATTATTTTCACTTCTTCCCAACGTGCTCTTGGCCATCTTGTCGAATTCAAATTGTCTGCTGCTACTGTAACCAGAGAAAAAGAATATGCATCGGGGATCCTTACCACCTGTGGTTCATAAATGATTCCTCAAGAAACATCGTAGGACATTAGTGCTGTTTTCCTGCTCTAGTTTTGCTCTAACCCTTCTCTTTATGCCTCAGGTTTCGGTCAGTTGATGTGAATAATGGTGGTATATCCACATTTAAATTCAACAAAAGAGGAGAAGCAATGCTCCAGTCTTTGAATATGACCGCCCACATGTATAGCGATCACGTTTATATTTCCTGAAACTGCTTGAAGTGATAGCTGTTAATAGTGAGAAAAGAGACAAACTATTTTGCTGTGACAGTTCACAAGAACATATATCAGACACAGTTCCATAATAATGACAGACTCTTGACGAGTAGAGCAAAGGCTCATTGTTTTCACTTTTGACTTAACCTGGTTGATTCTAGTAAAAGGTTTCTCTGAGTTCACTTGTTGTCCAAATCAAATTGTAGTGAGCTCATGTTTGATTCGATTTAGGCCATCCTTTGCTTCCAAAATCAAAGTTTTTGGTTTTTTTTTTTTTTTAACTCAAACATTTTCAAAACTACCATACTGAGAAAAAAACGAAGATATGAAAAAAGGAAGGAAATTGCATTTTTGACCCGTAAATAGCAAAACGATTCGTTTCAGCTGCTTTCACTGAAATTCATAACAGAGGCTTTGATTTAATGCTCTAAATTCCCTCTTATTCTCCCGTTTTCTCTCTATTCATGGTAAATTTCCATGGAAGCCAAACAACTTCATCAACCGGCATCCTCGCATTCACCGATCTACCACGCAATTCTCCAAGCAGGCCCACGTCTCAAACCTCTTCAACAAGTACACGCACGAATCGTCATCACCGGCTTGGGTCGTAGCCGATCCCTCATCACCAAACTCCTCTCTTTTGCTTATGCCGCCACTTCACCCATTACCTACACTCGTCGTCTTTTCCTTTCCATTCCGGAACCAGATACCTTTCTGTTCCATTCTCTAATTACATTAACCTCTAAATTCAATTTCCCTCAAGAATCCCTTCTCTACTATCGCCGGATGATATTAGCCAATATTTCATCTACAAATTACACATTCTCGGCCGTTATTAAATCTTCTGCTGATTTAAGGACTTTTAATACCGGTGAGACTATTCATTGTCATGTTTTGATTTGTGGGTACGGTTTGGATTCGTATGTTCAAGCTGCTCTTGTGAGCTTCTATGCAAAATGGGGTCAGTTGTGGATTGCCCGTAAAGTTTTTGATAAAATGCCTGAGAAAACAGTAGTAGCTTGGAATTCAATGATTTCGGGATACGAGCAGAATGGATTTGGCAAGGAAGCAATTGCATTGTTTTATTTGATGCAAGATTTGGGAGTTAAGCCGGATTCCACAACATTTGTTAGTTTGTTATCAGCTTGTGCTCAGTTAGGTGCAGTTGGTTTAGGCTGTTGGGTGCATGAGTATATTGTTAGAAACTGTTTTGATCTGAATGTGGTGCTTGGTACGGCATTGATTAATATGTATTCGAGGTGTGGAAATGTAAGCAAAGCAAGGGAAGTTTTTGATTCAGTGGAGGAAAAGAATATTGTTGCTTGGACTGCTATGATTTCGGGGTATGGAATGCATGGTCATGGTAGCCAAGCAATTGAGCTCTTTAGTGAAATGAGGGTTCTTGGTCCACGACCCAATAACGTTACATTTGTTGCCATCTTATCAGCTTGTGCTCATGCAGGGCTTGTTAGTGAAGGGCGCCAGATATTTGCCAGCATGAGGCAGGAGTACGGATTGGAGCCATCAGTGGAACATCAGGTTTGTATGGTGGATATGCTTGGGCGTGCTGGACACTTGAATGAAGCGTATCAATTTATCAGAGACATGGTATCTAAAGAGCCAGCTCCAGCAGTCTGGACTGCAATGCTTGGGGCTTGCAAGATGCATAAGGATTTTGATCTTGGAGTTGAAGTGGCAGAGCATCTTTTAAGTATTCAGCCAGAAAATCCAGGCCATTATGTAATGCTTTCAAATATATATGCATTGGCAGGTAGGATGGACAGAGTGGAAAAGGTCAGAAACATAATGATAAGAAATCGTTTGAAGAAAGAAGTTGGCTATAGCACCATAGATGTTGATCAGAAGATTTATTTGTTTAGCATGGGTGACAAGTCCCATCCTGAGACAAATGAAATTTATCTGTATTTGGATGAGTTGATGAGTAGGTGCAGGGAAGCTGGCTATGTACCAGCTTCCGAATCTGTGATGCATGAAGTGGAAGAAGAGGAGAAGGAACATGCCCTCAGATACCACAGTGAGAAGCTTGCAATAGCATTTGGGCTATTAAAAACCAGCCCTGGTGTGGCTATCAGGATTGTTAAGAACCTTCGAATGTGTGAGGATTGTCATACAGCAATCAAACATATCTCAGTTGTTTCTAATAGAGAGATTAACATTCGAGATAGGCTTCGTTTCCATCATTTTAAAGATGGCTCATGTTCTTGTCAAGACTATTGGTGATGGACTTTGCTTGTTATCTAGGCATTGTGCGATTCTCTTTTTTATCCAAGACCGTGTTTGAATAGTTCTTTGGAAATCAGGATTGTTTAACAACCCGCAAGATGTAGATTCACCAGCATCCATGACAATTTGACAAATGCAAAATGCTGATTTGACATTTATGCATAATTGAATGTTTGAGAAATCAGGAATGGCATTTTTAACACTATCATAAGGATGCCTTGTCAGCATTTGAAGAGCATGAGATGACATACAGTGTTTAACTGATTTCTATGGCATGCAAGATAGCTACTATTGCATCTGAAAGGTAATTGACGAGCAAAATTGTGTATTAATTTTCTATTCTCTACGCAAGGAAGGACACATTTTGTGAAAAATTTTGAGAAAATTCCTCATCAGAACAGGTTAGATTTCCATGATGCACAAGGGAGTTGATTAATCACTTTCTTTCACTCCCAGATCAAGAGGCTTATCCTCCTAAAGAAAGTTGTCTTTCATTTTGAAATATTTTCATTTAACACACAAGGGTCTGTTGCTGTGGATGCTTTCTTTTTGGCTTTTGTTTTGCATGTATCTTCCTTCTTTTTTTTTTTTTGTTTATTCTCTGTTCATCTGATTAGCTCCATTTTATTCTGTGGTTGTGCAGAGCTGTGAAGTATTTTCTAATTATGAACTCTGAGCTGTCTCTTGGGCCCTTGGCTGCTTTTGAGATAAGCAAAATTGCTGACTGGAAATTCAATTGGCATTACTGAAAAAAGAGGAGCTTGAAGTTTGATTGGATCTAAAGTAATGAAATTGCACAAATCATGCAATAATCTTCTCACTCCTGCTTTGGTGTCAAGTGAAGGATAAGTGGTCATTACCCTTGCAGCTGAGGACTACGATTCAATATTCTAATCTTACCTTTCCTACTGACCTTGTTCAATTGTAATCGGGGGAAAAAAAGTCAAATGAAGATACAAATTTTATACAGTATTATTTCATGTAAAGAGATTGAGTTCATAAAGATTTTGACATTCTTCCATGCAAATTCAAGGCTCCAAGCTATGTGCTCGCGGAACAGTTAAAATAAGACTTGTTGCAGAGATTTTGTTGGTCCTTTCACGAATAGAAAGCTTCACGACATACGAATCAGCTTTGCGAAAATTTGACCGTATGCAAAAGATATTGATTTTGACATATATTTCATTATCACTCCTTCACCTTCATAACTTGGATTCCACAAATTTTAGAAGCAACGTATCAAAACCAGGAAGCAAAAGAATACAAGAGGAACATGGGACATAAGCCCATAGCTATTGAACACGATGATTAAAAAGTGTAAAATTATATTTGATTCCGAAAAAAGTTTTCCACTATCACAGTATCATAAGCTATAAAAGTTTTTCTGAACTGATTCCCCTTGCAATTCCTCACTGTTATCTACACACACTTTTTCATATACAGCATCCTTTCTAAACCGTTTCGGTAGAATAAACTGACCGCCAAATCGCTGCTGCAAGAAAATGACGATAGCAAAGAGCATTCCAGCACAAGGTATAATGATATCCCAAGCAGTAGAATAAAAATCCATCTTATGGTTTGCATATATATATGATAAATCAAGATAGCCTGAAGAACTGTGAGCTCTGTAAAGATCATATGCATGAGGCAACAAGCGGACCAAGGTGCTTCCAATGTAAAATGAAGTAGCAAGAGCCTTTTCATTTGATATAGACAATATGTTGAACACTACCTGCGGAAGCAAAAACCCATCAAGGACCAAACCACCATAAGATTTAAGGTCACTCCAGAAAGAACGTAGCTGGTAGAAATGCTGCTGGACTGGGATCATTTGAAGACCTTTCTGGTGTGGTTGTAGAAATGGGCTGTGGTGGGAATTCTTCCATTGGTGCACAAACCAAGCAATCAACCCACCACTTACATATAAAGGTAGTGATATGTATAAAACCTTTTTCTCTGCATCCCATAAGCCCTTTTGGCTTTCATCACCTTGTCTTCCAGACCAAGTGAGCTGGAGAAGACGAAACTGCAAAAGGAAAGCAACCATTGTTACTGCCCTCACTATTATTTCATTTACTTCAAGCCATCCACCACTCTCAAGAAAAGCATTCTGTTGATTATGGTTTGTTACAAACATTGCCTCAAAGTTCAACAACAGAGGAATCATGTACCCCAGGGTAAGAACAATGAGCATCAATACAGAAATGAAAGGAAGCACTTCTGGGTGTTTCTTCACATAAAAAAGCTGCAATCCAACAAAAACACATGCAAGTGTATTGGAAATCAGAACCATGGTAATCTCCAGATCCATTCTCCAAATGGATTCTTTAGCCTGTTCAGTATAGAATGATTTGGAAGACAAACTAATGGGTCCAAAATAAAGAGGGTCTGACTTGGTCCGTGTGCTTTCAATAGTGCCCTTAACACGATATTTTTCTGCAGAATTTATTGGAGAAAATTGTACAGTAACCACAATGTCACAGTCCAGTGAATCATCTTTTATCAAATTTTGATTATAGTTTCTTACATGTTTACATCCTACCATGCACAGAATACCATAATGTCTATTGTATATTCCCTCAGCAGAAATTTCAACTTCTCTGGACAAAGAAGGAGCATTACTTGAATGATATGTGTAGCTAATCTCATAGCTGATATTTAATAGCCTGCTCTCATTATTGTTCAAATGAACTGCTGACTCAGTTGATACAGGCAAAAGACCATAAGGCTGATCACCCACAAACAGAGGATTCACATTACCCCATGCAGATTCTCCTTTACCATCTATCACCGACATTTCAAAGCTCATGCCCATTGAGTTGCCATCAGGATATGTCTTTCCCTTGTGTTTAGCAATATTCTTATTCGCACAAGATCTTCTAGCACCATCAACCTCTGTATACTCATATTTTAAGCCCGGTACACCCTTTAACCCAGGTGATACTTCCCAAACACTCCTGAACTTAACCTTCTCGAAGTAACTTGGATCATCCTCGCTTTTATCACTCCAAATTTTCCCCACAAGTGAATCCCTATTTCTCAGTGACAAAACCTTGGGGTATCTCAAGCTAAACTTAATAGAACAGTCGCCAACAGATGCTCTAGTCAAAGAATTCCTGAAATTCAAAACTCGACAAGCAACACCACATACCCTATTCTTCTTCTCATCCCATGCCCCTTCACCGATCAATGTTGTATTAGGATCAAAAGGGAAAGAAGTACGGATTCTGCTGTAGTTCGAAAACCCCAACAAAATCTGCATTTTCCCTTCATCCACACATTTAATCTTTCTAAAGAACATGAAACTGGGACTATAGTTAACATCCTTAATAACGAAACTACAACCAACTTTATCACAATCCTTCCCATAATCCAACTCAAACTTCATCGTACGTTCAACAATCACTGAACAAACTCCTCCATTCGCTTCGCTAATAGCCAAATTCTCTCCCTCACCCTCAACCCCACTTAAGCAAGAACTTCCCTTTCCATTCTCAACCAAACTAAACTGATAATTCCCAACATTCCTCCTCACTCCTAATAAGGAAACTGGCTCAAAATAACTTGACCTATGTTCAAAATCTAAACTTTCCAAAACCCCAGAGATTAAACTTCCGAAAACATTAAAATTAGTCGAATAATTAAGCTTAAGAACAACATTAAAAGTCTTAAATTTACCTGCATTTCCGTTACTTATCCCTGATCCAACCATACAAAGCCTCCGAGTCGATTCCGACCAATACCCACTAAGGGAAAAACTAGGCATTCCTCTTCCGATCACTGGAATTCTCGGTCCCCTGATCCGAAACTTCCGGCGCAATCCACGGCGAGGGTTTAAGTGACCGTCATTAGAATAAGAAACGGAAAATGATCTGGGAATTTGTAAACCGAGCTTTCCTTGAATTTTATAAATTTGGGTTTTATTATCATAGAGGGTGTTGTGAGAAAACTGAGCGTAAAAAGCAGCGGATTTGGGCATATCGGAGGTGGCCGGGTTCGATTGGAAGAAAATGGAGTCTCCGCCGGTGAAATAACCGATTTTAAAGTCGAGGGGGTTAGCGGAGGTGGGGCTGGAAAAGAAAGCGGTGGGCTCCACTGGGGATTCTGGCACGACGTCGTTGCAGTGTTTGGAGTAATCGGGTGGGGTTTGGGAAGGGATCAGAGAGGTTGTTTTAGGGATTTGAAGGAGGAAAAAGAAGGTGAAGAAGAAGAGGCCGGGACTTGGAGGGAAATTATGTGTTGTGGAAAGGCTTTTTGGGTAGAAAAGAGGAGGAGAGAGAGGAGGTTTTGGCGGCTTCATTGCTGGGTGGTTTGGAAATGGAAATGCCTCAGAACGGGGAAGAGAAGAAGCTGTGTCAGTCAGGTATTGAAAGGTGTCTGTATTTAAGGGCACGTTTGCCAAGATATTATTAGCACGACTAATAAGTTAATGGTTAATTACCATAGTTGGAACTAGAAATAGAATTTAATTTGATGTACAAAGCACAAGGTTTAATGACAAAATTCTAGAAAGTTTGGTTTAGCTACACACCACCACCATTAATATTAGAAGAAATCAAAATAATAGGACATGATGTTGACTATGGAACTCCCTTGATGGCCAGCCTGTTGGCTCTGCCAACAAAAACGTGCCCACAGCCACACCCCCACCGAGGGACCTTTATTGTCTACGACAACATAAAATTGCTTGTCTTTCTAATCCTTTCAAGTATCAACACGACAGGACATAGCAAATGCATGATCTAGAAAAGGTTTTGTCCGACATCAGCAATTAGAATTGATACGTAATAGGTGCCGAGGAAACTCCAAAAGAATATTGCCAGACACATAAAACACACCAATCCAACCATTACTTCTTATTTCACAATCTTAATTGTCTGCAAACAATAGTTTCGTACAATCATAGCACAAGCCTGTTAACAATGGTTTCCGACTGTAATAGACAAGAGGAAAACATTGCAATCTTTCAGCAAAGCACACCCCGATATGATACGGAGCTTTCCTTAGAGGAATCTTTGTTCTGACTTTTGTTTTTGAAATCTGGTGAGGAATATTATACAAAGCTATTCACACGATAGCAATTTTGGTGATGTACACTTGTGTTCACTATCGCCTCAGCAGCAAATTCACTTCTCCAGCCCACGGAATTGGCTGCAATCAATTCCCTGATCTGAAAATGCCTCCACAAGCTTTGGGTAAAGCTTAGCGAGCATGATTTTGAAGCCAGTTGAACTTCCTTTAAAGTTTACATCATGCCCATTTCCACCACTTTCAAGAGCAAATCCTACAGGCACACCTTCCATGTATGCATTGCAAGCCGAGAGAATAATTTCGGCACGTCGACTAAAGTGCTCCTTGACAAGTGCCTCAAAATGCTGCACCAGCAGAGCAATAAACATTAGTGTAAACAATTTGAAGGTTTAACCAAAACTAGTTTAGACACGAGTGGCATTTTCATATTCATTTTAAGTTTCAATTCATTGCCAAGGTTTAATATGTTTTAGAACTGTTTGGAAAATACATTGATTCTGGGCATTCCATGTCAGTCCACTCGAGTGGATTCATCTGATATTAACACATATAATGAGATCGAAGCCAATATGAAAACCTATGGTATCAAAGAAAATAGACTATTGTTTTCTTAAGTCATGAAAGCTACAAAATAGCAAGGGAAAAGTAATGGATTTTTTTTCATTTTCTGAAAGGGAAAAACATAAACATTTTAGCACCAATTAGTACTCCAAAAGAATATTTTTCAAACTCATCAGTCAAGAGATGGCATCAGTATTTCATGTAACATTTAAGTGATATTCAAAGCTAATTATCATAACTCCATTACTTCTACAAATGCAAATGATGGAGCTGGAAGATGTTTAAATAGTGAAATTTTACCTTGGGTGGCTTGCGGATTATATAAAGCATAGACTGGCAGGTTACAAGGAAAGCATTTTCATTGTAGCTCACTGAGTTTGTCTCCCCCTCAGCTCTTCCTAACTGTTTATCATATCCAGCCTCATTGAAATAAGGTTTCTCATTAAGCACAAGAGCCTGGAAGGATAGAAGAACTTGAAGAATTGTGGATTTTCCAGGATTCCAGACCTCCGTGTCTGAACCTGTCCATGTATTTAGAAGGCTTAAGCAAACCTTCCCTGATTCATACAAGTTGGGATTGAGGCGGAGGCCCTGTGAATGGTAGTGCACCAACTGCAAAATTTTGACAAACATAAACTTCATGAGAATTTGTTTACATATATTAACATTTTCACGATTTACATGAAAACTTGTAATTTATTCAGATATCAGTTTGTGCAGGGACCATCCTTTTTCTTAAAAGGGAACCTTACATACAGTTATCAAAAATTCAAATAGGCATAAAAACTTTATTGTATATGAAGAGATAGGAATCAAAGAGGTCAGTATTCTCTTGGCATTATAGAGTTACGCATTCCAAAAGCAGCAACTACTTATTCAAGCCAATTCTATAATTAGTAGCAAGGCTAGAAGTATAACTTACAGGTGGTTCATACGGATACTCTGAAGGAAGAAAAATGTCAAAAAAGAACAGCCCATCATGGTAGGGTGTTCCAGGAGCACCAACAAGGGCAGCTCTTAGTAGATCCATCCTTTCCTCGTATACACGGACATAGATAGTTTCTGCTTAGGTCAAAAATAGTCTCATGAAAAAATAGCAAGTAACTGGCTCTAAAATTTAAGTGTTGAATAAGCATATCCAACAGAACGAATACCTGTGCATCAATACATGTAACACATAAAATCATTATAAAGAGTAAGACAAAGTGCTAACCAGGAAGGTTTTTCTCTAGAATACTCCATTCTTGCTGAACCTTCTTGATCCAACTTCTTTTCACCTAGAAGTGGGAACAGGGATAAAAACTAAAATGATGATCTGGCCTGTTTAAACAACTCAAATGGTAAGTTTTAAGAGTCAATTAACTCATGTTTTTAACCTGAGAGACAGCCAACACCTTGCTTTCACCAAGAAAGTGGTGATCTGAGCAATCACTATCCATATCAAACTGCCTAAATTGATCTGAAGTCTCACCGGGCCTTGGCATCATACTACCTTTGTTTTCTTCAATCTCTTTGACATCCTGCTTTATGTTTGTTGTTTCAAATATCGGCAATTCACTCAGATCTTGCTCAGCCCAGTGATTGCAAGTTTTCAACACTTCTTTCTCAAAGAGAATGCCATTTTCTTTTGCATCATGAGAATTATGACCAGATGACTCTTGGTTTAACAGTAATCTGGAACCAAGGGATCCAAGGATACTAGCAGCAATGCTGGAGAAAAATCCAATAGCAGCTTGAGGACGGAAGAAGGAAGTAGGCGCCCATGAGAATTTTTCGCCAATTTCATCAGCACCATCAAAATTCAGCAACTCCTGAGAATAGAATCACAGTCGTTATTTAGTTTAGTGAGGCACATAATACAAGATTTTTCATGTTGTCAAACTCCTGAAGTTTAAAAGTGGTTTCATTTTAAGACATGATTCACTGGCCCTCATAAGAGTTTGGGTTTACAAGGCTGCTATGATGATTCAAGTTCCATGCAAGTTATCGGCAATCAAACCAAAATCTCACGAAAACTGTAAGTATCTTACGTAGTAAAAGTCCTAACTGGTACTCTATATTTCTTTAACCATTCAGGGGCATGAGCCTCATAAGTTTTCTACATTTTCCATGCATATTTTGCAAAGAATTTTGACTAATTTAATCACAGGCTTTTGGTTGATTTCAACAGGCTATTGGAACCCCCTCCCCAACCCATAACCTTTTTTCTAATATTAAAAGTATCATTTCGACATAAATTTGGGTGTGCATCTGCAAACAGCCAGATGTGAACATATAGATTGACAGAAAACTTGTGCTCAAAAAATACAAACGAGAAAGAGGGAGAGAAAGTTGGATTTACCTTTCCTTTGTGGCTATCAGACTGTGTCTCATGCACAAACACCTCTTGATTGAAAACCTCGGTATTTTCTTCATCGAGAGCAGTAGTTGTGGCTGGGTCTTCATATTTATCAAAATGGTAAATTTCATACGGTGCAACCTGTGACAAAGTTTAATGATAAATTCAAAGGATGGTAGATCTGTGACTGCTAATAGACGAGCTAAAGACGGAATATAGTCAACCAAAAATGAGTGCTACAAGTTCATGGATTCTGTTGAAGGATGTAATGCTAAACTCAAACCGCATTTAAATCCAGAACCTAGGAGTATTAACTTAATTCAAATTCACATGCATATGACTTGTATCATGGAATAAGAATGAATAAGATTCAAACCTTTGTTGGAATACCAGAAGCCCATTTCACCTCCACATCACCGTCTTTAAAACCAATGACAATGCCGATACAGGATAGACAACATGTACTGGGATACTTGTTCCTACCCAAATTCAAGTTTTTGCCTTTTGAAACAACTTCTGTGCCAAAACCATTTTCTGAGATTACATGACCTTCATCAGGTTGATCATCAAACTGGTTCTGAACCACCTTAAACACAATATCCCCATAACAGTAGGAGTAGTCAGGGTGCTCAACAAGTTCATAAGCACTAACAGTTTCCTCCACCCCCTCCTGGGAAAAACCATTTACTTGATTCACAGCCATATTTCTCCACTGTACCTTAACTGTTAATTCTTTTGCATCCATGCTACACACCACACCCCATCTTTGACTATTGCCACTATTTCCCTTTTCCAGGACAAATTGATGAGGCCAAAATTCGTGTGCATTTGCAATGCCAACAGGAAGTAAAGTCTGTGAATCTAGTCCCAAACTGCAGGTACCATCCTGCCACACAACATCAACCTTGGTCCTTGTCTTGATAATAACAAAGATCTCCTCCAATCTAGAATCCTGGTTTCCTCTTTTAAATCCTTTTTCTAGTTTCCAGTTACCTTTAATTATATCATGAGTTGATGCATGCAGAAACTCTTCATTAGTCCCCTTGCGGTCAGCAAAAGAAAGCATACACCAGTCACCAAGCTGCCAATTTGCATGAGGAAAACATGACAACAAAGTCAAGTCCTTTGCCTCCTGCAAACAAGAGGGAGGAGAGGCACTCAAATCTCCACCGAAGCAAGAAGAGGAAATCCAATCAACATAGACAAAACCTGCATCTACACCAGAAACAGTGCCTTCATCCTGATTTTCCCTCCAGGTACCACATAACCATCTAGTTGATCTAGAAACATTTGAAGGCACAACCTGTACTCTCTGTCCTGGATGATATGGAAATTGTGAGTCATCGATTATGTTGGGAGAAACAGGCAGAAGCTTCTTGTTATCCATAGCAATGACCTCACACTTAGACCCATCATCAAAGACAACAGAGACACAGTCAACTACTTTATCCACCCTTCCAATCCAAGTTGCATTAATCACATAATCCCCAACTGAAATGGAGTGGATCTTCAAAAGTTGTTTTGAATTTATATTTTTTATGATTTTCCCATGAACATTCTCAAGATCCACAAACATATTAATTTTGGTTATTCTACCCATCTGTCCACATGGGTCTGTTACAAAGCGCACAATGTCCCCATGACGGAATCCCCTCTCAAATGAGAGGAAGTCATCAATTTTTCCAATACTTTCCTGCAGACTTGATAGTATGGTACAAGCCTGGCCGCCATACAGAAATTCAATTTCTTCCTGTTCCTCGCTAGTGCCACTTTCACTAAAACTTTCCCAATCAGAATCAGTGAGGAGCACATCCATTTTTCAGCACCTATGAGAAGATATATATTAAATTTAGTTCAACATAAATAAAATATGAAGAAGTTATATTTTTGCAACAAGAAAAAGAATGCAGTTTAGGACTTTCAGGCAAGATTGTGACCTCACTAATAAAAACTATAGTTTCTGATGCAACTAAAAACTATAGTTTCTGGTGCAACTTTTGCTTTCAAAACTTTGCTACCTTAAGAGCAGGATCTTTACTACACAGTAAATATAAAAAAAAGATCGTGTATGCACCTGAAAATGTATGGAAGCTTTAGTTTTAAAACATATATGGCAATATGAAACCAATCATCAAGTGTTTCACTTAATTACTGCAACTGAACAGTTAGTTGTTAATCTATACTTCTGTCTCTTTTTTCTATACAAATGCTATAACAAAATAGAAAAAGGGAGGAACACAAAGGCATACCAGTAATTTCACTCCTGTCTGAACAAACTGTAGCAACCAAGATATGCCAGTCTCAATCTTAGGCTCTCAATTCTCAGTAGATCTAAAGAGGACACAGCCAATGATATGACTATACTTATCTGTTATGAATAGTGGAATATGTATCTTCCAGTTGATTCAACCGTTTGAAACAGATAGTGAGTAAAATATCCTGAAGAGGATATTTTGATTCTAATGCCAAAGGAGATTTGCCCTAAAGGGACGAAGGAGCCAACGAATGACTCCAAATGCCAAAGGAGATTTGCCCAAATGGGACTGAAGTTTACACTGGAGGAAACTTCCAAAGGAGATTTCCCACAGAAGTAACAAGGGGGTAAACTTGCCAGGTATCTTATTTGAAGGTCAGAGTGAAGTTCCTTGTATGAAAGGAGATCCCTCTAGAAAGAGCTGCAAAAGATGATAATAAACACCTTCCCTAAGAAATTCACCCGACCAAAGGAAATTGTAGGAATTTTTGCCAAAGGAGATTTGCCCAGCAGAGTTGAAACTTCACAAATAAATATGTATCTAAAATCTAAAAGAATTGTTTGCTTCTAAAAAGAGCTATGATGCCAAAGGAGATATGCCCCAGAGTAAAGCTGAAGTTTCTGTTTTTTCCCTCCAACACAACAGATCAGTCTCATGAAGAGTTCGATTAAATTGGACAAAGATCAGCCACGTTCAACCAAGCCAACAGAAATAATAGCTTGTTATTTGCTGTCTGTGGAATGCTGCCTATCAAATAATGTCTTGAAGAAATCTGTCAGAACTATGGCTGTTCCCTGCTGAAACTCAATAGTGCTTCACTAAGCCATTTAACATTTCCACGAAACCTGCACAACAGCAACATCCAGCAATATCTCCTAAGATTCTTTAACATAAAGGAATTGTAAAAACAGCAAAATGCAGTTCTAACAGTCACATCTTTTCTTTCCATGAAAAAATAAAGGTGCTTATCTTAACACAACACAAAAAGCTAGATTTAAGAATATAAGAGACAAGCAAATTTTATTAACCATTAGTTAGTTTCCACTTTAATAGCATCTATATACCTACATATAATATTTCATCACTGAGATGGACTACTTATTAATTAAAAAAATAAAATTTCGGATGGTATTTCCATACTATATCCTTCAATTAATTACTCAATAAAGATCCCATTTTTCTTTTTCAAAGTTTGCTAATTTAACAAGTTTCCTTTGCATACAACAATTTAAAAATCCAAAATTCAAATAAAAAAATAAACTTATTTTTAAAATTTTTTTCATATAGGCACGTAAACATGAACAAGAACAACCTCGAATTCCATAAATAAAATTCCAATTCTGAAAAGAAAATTATACGAGATTTTCATGCTTCGAGAAAAAGATAAAAAATCAAAGAAACAGAAGAGTGGAAGAGTTAACATTACAAAGGAAAGAAAAACCGAAAAAAAAAAAAGTTTACCATTTGCCGCTTCTACATACGAGTAGAGCCATAAATCCAAACGAAAGTAAAGCGACCAATCAGAAACTGTACGTATAAACTGATCCAACCAACTCAACCCAGAAAACGACTCATAATTTTCTCTCCGACGTTGTATTCTTGCTGTTTCTTTCTCTTCCACAGGTCCAAACAATATAAACAGAGGAAAAAGAGGACCGGAAATTCAGAGAGGTAGGGTTCCTACCAGAATCCCGACAATCGCGACGCCATTAACAAAGCTTGAAAACATTGTAGTACAGTAACAAAGAAGAACAGGTCCTTTCTCTTTCTCTCTCGCATGCGAGTCTTGGGTTTTTGTTGGAAAGAGCTGTTTGAACGTTGACAGAGGGAGTTGCTAGAGTGATCTTTTTGGGTGCTTTGGTTTCACATGGGAAAATATTGGATTTGTATGGGAGTTGCTAGAGTGATCTTTTTGGGTGCTTTGGTTTCACATAGGAAAATATTGGATTTGTATTCATATTTATGGAATGCTTACAGAAAAGAATATACACGGTATCTAAATTATACTGATAACGAAACTTAGTATCCATAAAACCTCGTTGCCCCTTTTATTTTTTCTCTTCTCACAGTCAAACCCACATAAACGAGGAATTAAACCTATTTTTTCTTCCATGTGTGAGACAACATTAAAAGCAGTGAAATTTTGATTTTTTTTTCTCTAGAAATTATGGGGATTTTTTCTGACCAAAGAAATTATGCGGATTTAAGGTTGTGGTTATTGATGTGCATTTGTTTGTTTTTTAGCTTTTATATTAAAAGTGGGTTAAAATTGCTTCAACTCAAACTTAAATCTTATAAAATATGACAATTCATTTTTTAATCATTCCACTAAGAAGTTGGGTGGTATGCATGTATTTGCTTAATCAAGAAATATATTTCATATTTCTTTTTATCATACGCATTAGTACAATTATAGCATAAGAATATGCTGGGCATATAGTGTCACTAACAAGATTCTATAGCACTAATAAAAAAGCAGAACAATTACATTCATTGCTGCAAAAAAAAAAAAGAAATGCACTTCGTATACGCTTTAATCTGCTTTTGGTATTGAAACATCATGTCAGAATTTATAATTAAGTTTATTTTGTTGCCACCGGCCTTCAATTTAAGTAGTGAAAAATGTTTTTATAATAGCTATGTGCTTATGTCATTTGATTGAGAGATTCTTCTTTTATGTTTTGGGACAGTGATTCTGATCTATGCTTAGATATTAAGATTTCAATATAATCATGTATATGTGTACACATCATATTATTCTTGCATGGATCAAGCAAGGCAAAATTGCCATATCTGTCTTTTCATGAAGAAGTGACAAAAAACCTGAAAATTGATGCTAGAAAGCCATGCAGAGAGAAGTTTAATCCTGTTGAATTAAATCCAATCAAAATCAATAAAATTTTCTTGTGTGCTTTGATATTGCCCTGAAATAGATAATCTGCACCGAAATGACAATTAGCTTGATTCAACAAGTGCTTGTTAGAGATCCTTTTTGCCTGAAAAACTGCTACTTAGTCCAAGGGAGATTCTTTGGTAGTTCAGTTTATCACCCATTTTACATTGTTGAAAATAAGTTATAACATACGTAGTTTGACAAACTGTGGTCACTCAGACCATACCTTTGTTATACTATATCAGTACACAAATAAGTAAACAGTAGTAGTGTTGCAGGTTTATTTAGAGGAAAACAAAGCCACATCTTGAAATCTTTTCTTTTATCGGGTATATGATGCATTTGACAAAACTGGCGGCCAATAGCAGATGCGAAGTCAATTGGGTTTGTTCTGCTAATAGCCATAAACCAAAATGAAAGGGCAATAATAGTTTTGTTCTTTTTGTAGGAATAAACTTTTTAGAGAGAAATGATTTAAGCACTAACTATATTGTCTAGTTGGAAAGGCAAAAATAACAATAAAAATGTATTTTGCTGAAAATGACTAGTTCCTAATTGTCTTTTCCACTTCAAATTATCATAGTTTCTTTCCATTACTATATTTTATATAAATTCTTTTTCTCTTTTTAGGTGGACAACAAATTTTCAGTTCTTGTTTGTTGCACTTTGTAGGCCGGCCTGAAATGCAATCCAAAATTCCTCTTGATCCTCTAATAATCACAAGGGACCATACTTGACAGATATTTTTGATTGGGACGAGTGTCAGCAAAAGAAAGAGATCTTTAAAAAAGCTAGTTCAAGTGTCAAGTTAGCAAGCTAGATTGCTGAATTGTGCATGATTTCGCCGTGGCCAAGCCCAAGCATGATCTGAAGCTCATAAATGAATCTGGAACTCAACTGATATATACTAAATGCCCTTAGAAGCTACTGTAAATGAGCAATGCTGGAGGATTTATCAGAGCTTGTACCCGCAATTTGCCATACAAGCTTTTGAATAATTCCAACTAAGAGCTCATTCAATTCTTAAATATTAGAAGTTACAGCTACCTCTAATCCAGAAAAGCCAGCTATGGTCAGTGGCATTGCGTTCTCAAGGCTGCAAGGCGAAACCAAATCTGCGAGAACTTATTCCCTGACCAACCAAAGAACTTAAATCTTTTTTTTTAACGCTTGAGGATAAAAATTGGTTTTTCCTTTCTTTCTTTCCTCCGTCTTATGCATATGTAAACACACACATTTTGTCACCTGAATTATTGATCATAGTGGATTGCATGCTCAGAGCAACACAAATATTGGACAAGTTACGACCAAATAATACAAATCTAATTGTCTCATTTTAACTGTCGTCATGTTACTTTTTTAAATTGTTGCTTTTTGACAATTTAAAAGCTTTAGTACGGCACAAGGATTCCACTGGCGAACAGCAGGCAGAATATTCACAAGATCATTCCTTCTACATTTCTTCCTCTTTCAGTTTTCAAGTAAGTGGTTAATAGCTGATGATTTTGGACTTGGAAGATTTGTCAAAGAAAGACAAATATGGTGGAAGAATCACTCTCTATTGGCTCACAAACTTGGATTGGAAAGTTATAGACTGACAAAATATTAATACCTAACCTTTTATCAATAATATCCAAGTACTAGTGCTGTTTGAAATGATGCTCATCATGTCTCCTAAATATTTCTTTTCATAGGTCAAATTGCATCAACATTATTTAGTCAACTTTACTTCCACTTCCAACGGATGGTTTTAATTCATGCAGCCGACTATAGAATTGGTTGTTCCTCCACTTGGAAGGAGGCAAATCTAAACTTAAAGAGGTTATTCAGCACGAAAATGTTATTTTCATAGAAACTTTGATGTTTGCTGGTGCTAGCAGGCATACAAGAGCGTGCCAGTATATTTTGATTCTTCATTTTCAGATTCATTAATCTTGATCTCTGTCATCCTTTCATAGCTTAAGGTGTTTGTTGCAATTCATGAAATATATCTTCACCGCGAAGATCTTCTCAAGATATATAAGGATCAAGGGATGTCGAATGGGGACCCTTGACAGAAACACCATCTGATGGAATCAAGCATTTGTCATACAGAAGATTGGGATCAAATTTTCCTGAAATTTGAATCATATTGCTGTTAAAAATAAATAAAAAAGAGAATAAAAATAATAGAAAAAAATTTTGACTTTAAGTCATGAAGAATATATATTTTTAAAGAACATTATACCTCTCAGATACAATAAAGCTTTAAATCTCCAAAAAAAATAGTAAAAATAGTTATAATGAAAGAGTTATTTATAATGAATGATCAGATATAAATTTTTATTTAAATAATTATGATTTTTTGTATAATAATGACCTTTATGAATAATAATCTATTTATATTTAAATAGTTATAACATTTGTCATATGATAATTATTTATGTTCAAACATAATTATTTAAAATATGAATAAAATTAAAAAATTAATTTTATTCATCAATAATTAAATCTTTTTATCCTATAAGGATGCACCATATTCTAAACTACCAATAATCTCCCACTAGTTTGGAATATTAATGCTTAATCTTTAACTTTTTATACAAATAAATATTATGAATACAAAAAAAATCTCATAATTTAAACTTTCAATTGGCTTATATATCTTAGAATTCTAATGAAATTGATGGTGTTCGTAGATTAGAGATTAACTCTTAGTGTTAGAATTAAAAAATATAACATACTTAATATTTATTTATTCTTCTATCAGAGGTTTATAATTGTTTTAGCACTATTATGATCATATGTTTATCCTATTCATAAACATTTATAAGAAAGACCTTAATTTTTTTTGGAAGCGGCAATACTTCTATGTTTTTATAGGTAGAATTTTCATATGTCTCTATTGCTTTTAAATATTTAAATAATAAATTCCATTAAGAATATAAAAAAACTCATTAATCACACTAGTTTCTAAATTTTGAATGAATTTTATTAGTGCATAACAATCACATAGCAATAACTTATTTTTACACATTAAACTTTGTAATTAGATGTTACTAATTCAAAATTAGGTTCTCATTATTGGTGTCTAATAATAAAGGTTTAAATCTATTCTACTTATAGTACTACTAATAAAATATCTTGAAATTTAATTTTCTTTTATGCTAATTATCTTTATTTGATATTGAATCTCTAATATAATCACTTCATGCTAATATGTCTAAACTTTTTATTTTGCATATTATTTATATGCTCTAATATTATTGTGTCATTTTTGTCATTTTAATAAATAGATGGAATTGGTTATGGCTACAACTCTATATTTATTAATATAAAATTTCAACCATTATATTTCTATACTTTTATCTATTTTAATATAATTATTCTTCTAGTACGATTGGATAAACTTAATAAATAAAACCAAGTAATTTTAGTCCTTTTAAGATATTTAAGGACCTTTTATAATTTTACTTTAATAAGTTATACTAAATTTATTAGCTTAAGTAATTTGCTCATAAAATTATACTAAAATCTTATAATATTATGATAGTAATTTTTATTTCTTTTGATTCTTATCATTTCCATCATTTGGAAATTTGCATTCTTTTATTAAAGAATGTTCTATTCAATAATCAAGATATCATATATACTTAATTAAGTTGTTATTTTATTTATCTTTTCACTATTTGATGGTTATTTTTGTTTAAATAGTAGCATTTGAATCCACCCTTAGTGAAATATAGCTAGTAAATATTTTATATTTTAATATTTCCTTTTCATAAAAGTTCCAAAACTTTTGTTTTAACTCAATATGAGAGTATGCATCAATAAATATGATTTCAAAAATAATCACTCTTAAAACTAGTAAACTCATGCTTTCTATAATCTCCTTTTGAGACTTTCCTTCTAATTCTTGGATACTTAAAAATTATTTGATCATAGACAACAAAGACATATCACCCTGGTTTATGTCATTAGAAATAGTCAAAGTTTCATATGCAACCACATAATACTATAAATTTTGTGTCTAAATTATAAAATACATGAAATTGTTTCACCTAACAAATATAAAACATTTTAACTAGTTACAAATAATTATATAATTTCTCTAATTGAATTGAAATTATCGTAAATAATATGTTTATTTCTTGTTAAAATAATATTACATAAATCAAATAATATGAATCATGCATTATTCCCATGTCAATAAAATACAATCACAGAATAAGGACCATAAAATATGATTTTATGATAAAAATATATATACTTGCTTCTTTTTTGAAAATATTTATGAGTTCACAATTTTTTTATGCCTTAAAATAATTCTCAATAATTTTATCATTTTGATTTG